CCTGGGAGAGCAGGTGGCCTGCTGAGGCCTCCCAAGCCCTGTCACAGGGGGATGCTAACTGAGACGCTCACTAATGATTGCCCCGGCGAAGTGAAATGGGCAGAAGCATCAGGTCTCTGTCCCAGCTCTATGCATGTCAGCTGTGTGTGCTGGGCAAGTTACTTAACCTCTCTGGGCTTCCGGCGCCTCCTCTGGGAAGTGGTGATGGTTGTGAGGCCTCAGGTTGCCCTGGGGCACTGAGTGAGATAGTGGGTGTAGTGTGCCTGGTAAATAATATTGGCTTGGACCATGTGAAGCTGCTGATATCCAACTGTTTTTGACTCAAAAACCAGAAATTTCATATGACTTCGTCTAACAGAGAACCCTCTGTGTAGCCAAATGAAGAGATAAAAACAGAAATGACCACAGACACGGGGAGAACGAGGAGAATGAAGCTGGTGCATCGCAGAAATTCTCTACAGACAAATGTGCAACCTGCGTGAACGTGTGATTTTCTAGAAAAACACAGGTCACTGAAACCCACACAGACCAAGGGCCTCGTAACTACAAGTCTCTGCAGCCTCTCCCTCCCCCAGGACCACACTCCTGCCTCCCCACTCCTCCAGGACCACGCTCCTGCCTCCCCCATCCTCCGGGACACAGACCAAGGGCCTCGTAACTACAGGTCTCTGCAGCCTCTCCATCCTCCCGGGCCACGCTCCTCCTCCCCCTCCTCCTGGACCACCCTCCTGCCTCCCCCTCCTCCAGGACCACGCTCCTGCCTCCTCCAACCTCCATCCTCCTCCCTCCCCTCCTCAGTGGTCCTCTCCCTGTCTCTCTCTCTGCCTGGGTCCTGGCCCCCCTCTATGATCTGGGTCAACCCAGCATCTCCACCCACAACACCCAACCAGGTCCCGGTCCCGGCATCATTCTGGCCGCACCAGCTCGTGATGAATGAGAGAAAGTGAGGGAGGAGCCAGTGTCAGGGGGGAACCGCGAGCTCTGAGTACCAGTGGATCCATGGGAACACCAGGACCCGGGAGACTCAGGAGACAGACGGTGGCGAGAGGCTGACAGTTTCCAAGTGAATTCACAAAAAGTCATCGCTTCCTGACAGACAGCTGGTTAGCAGCTGGAATGCAGGAAAGCCTGCCCTTTAGGAGCAAAATGGCCACAGAGATTGCAGACAGCCTAGGCTAAGCCTCACAGGCTGCAGGCTGACTGAGGGGCACAGAAGGTAATTGGGGGGGGGGCCTGTCCCTGGAGAAGGTCTCCCTCGCCCGACCTCCCCACCGCCTGGTCTCTCGGCCCCCCTCTCCCTGCCGGCCCTCAGGCCCTGTCCTCTCAAGGGGCCCTGCCTACTCACCCCCACATCCCTGAGACCAGGCCTGCTCCTGCCCAGCCCCCCACTCCCCCCACTTCCCCGCTTCCTCCACACCCTGGAGCCCGGGAACCAGGAGGGCGCCTCCCAGCAAAGCCCAGCCCCTGGG